AATTAACCTGCTGTTCAAAATGCATAAATTCTGCTCAACGCTGCAAATTAGATTTTAGGTAATTTATGGCAACTGCAGAGGGATAGTCTAAATTAAACTCCCTATTCCCTGTTAAAAAAGGAGCTGAAATGAAAGGACAACATGTCTTGCATTTAATCTATGGTTTTCACCTCCACATTGCAAGCTGGACAGAGAGGTACCACAGTGGTACCACAAACACCTGTTCATTGCATTATCCTAGTGCAATTTGGAAACTTGTGCAGCGAGATAATAGCTTACTGTTACTAAGAGATAACTTTTATGTTACAAATCAAATGAGAGATTAAATCTGGCTTGGATTTCTGAGTCACAACTCCACCATAACCCAAAGTCCATGTATTTAAATGTAGGCCCACAGGAGAGAAATGAGTAAGTGACCATCTCCAATCCATGGAGAAAATAATGTAAACTCTGTACATATTTTACCTATCTACCACTGGTGCTACTCCAGAGTAAGAGTAAATACTCATCAGTTTCCATTCTTTTTCTGGCCAATAGATCATATTCTGGCCTAGTTCATGCATGTGAAGAGATGGGTTGGCTGGTTCCAAAAACACAATGAACCTAATCGAACCTAACAGTTACTAGTTAGTCTAATTGTTCAGAATAGTCTAATTGTTCTGGTAGTTAAAACAATTAATTAGTGGGACAGTTTGCCTCCAGAAGTTGTGGGTACTCCAACCCAGGAGGTTTTTAAGAAGAGACTGGACAGCCATTTGTCTGAAATCGTATAGGGTTTCCTGGTTGAGCAGGGGGTTAGACTAGAAGACCTCCAAGGTCCCTTCCAATTCTGTTAATCGGTTAAAGTCATGCTGTCTGTAGGGAAAGTACTTTATGCCACTGCTTTGAGCCTTCAGTCTTCCAAGAAAAACTTCAGTTGCAATGAAGAATGCAATTAAATTCAAATTTGACAAATTAATTAACCAATTAGCCAAACCTCGGCTAAAAAGAGAACATCGAGGATTTCTTCATTGTGCTTTTAAAATCTCAAAGATTAGTACACAAGGTTCAGTTCAGTTCAGTTCAGAGGTTCAGTTCCTACTTCTTTAAATCTCAGATTCCCATTCATTTCAAACCTTCCCATTTGTTTTACTTCTACCGCAAGTGGTATTTGCACAGCCCGTTCTTACTTTTTTAAAGCAACCTTTCAAACTCAACTTTGCTGTTTAATTGGGCATAATAATGGTAACGAATGATTCTCACTGCAGTCTTGCACTTAAAGCTTTCTTGCCTTAAGGTGTTTGGAGGTTAGAAGGAAAGGATGAAAAAAACACAACAAAAAAACCAAAAAAAAATCCAGTTCCTAATCAGGGAAGATAATTAACACACTAAGATGACAGCTTAAAAATACTACTATATATGTCTTCAAGGCAAATGCTCTGACAGTAACTAATTAGCTCTAAAATATTTGACAATCTGCAACTTTTGGAAAAACCAGAAGTTAATGAAGGCAGTCCTGAAAAGTAATGTTTAAACCTAATTTAATGTGTATTATAACGACTCCACCCATAGATTATTTATCAGCCATAATCATACACTTGTCTGATAGCTAGACTGAAGGGTATTTGTAGGGCAGAGACTTGAAGCTAAATCATGGTTTGTTTAGTCCTGATTGGCTGAATCAGCTACCCTTGGCTAGATTTGTACAAGATGCTACATTGATTATAGTTCTCTATAATCTTGTATGCAGCCAGAATATGGCTTATCTGCCTTTTAGATTTATTTCTCTTACATTTCTTTAGAGAAGCAATTTTATAACTGTGCCAGGATATTTAAATACCCACAGAATTTATGATTTTCACAGAGGCTTCAGATTGAAGGATGATGATTCTTTATCTGTCTCCTTCCTTCTGCTGTAAATACAGGGATAGCCTGTTAAAGTAGCAATTCACAACCTGGCTGGCATATGCACACACCCTTTTTGGCTTTTTGGTTGTCTCTTCTTGAATGTAAACAAAGCACAAACCCCACTCCCTTCTAGCACTGATGTTATTCAGTTGAGTAATAAAAAGTCTGCAAGAAAACAACCAAGCTCAGAAAGCACCAAGGACTACACAGTTCAACCTGAGCTATGAATATTCCGGTTCTTTCTTTATTTGGGATCTTCTGCTAGTGTTTTTAAGTTATTTTTCTTTTTTTAAAAAAATATAATAATTCCATCTTCAATTGAACAGTTTGTCATCCAGGTACAAATATCTTTGTAAAATCATAATCAAAATTTACAGCATTATGCACTACGTTAGTATCAATTCTACAATATAATAATAATAATAATAATAATAATAATAATAATAATAATAATAATAATAATAATAATAATTGTTTTTAATTATTTTTGATCAGCATTATATACAAGACTGATGTAATTTTGGGGCTGTTGCTCCCCAAGGCACAAAGGATCAGTTATTCATCATAACTCGGTGGTGCAGTGGTTAGAGTGCAGTCCTGCAAGCTACTTCTGCTGCAGCCAGTTGCCTGCAATTTGACAGTTCGAATCTCCCCAGGCTCAAGGTTGACTCAGCCTTCCATCCTGCTTAGGTCAGTAAAATGAGGACCCAAATTGTTGGGGGCCAGAGGCTGAATCTATAAATTGCTTAGAGAGGGCTGTAAAGCGGTATAGAAAGCGGTATATAACCCTAAGTGCTATTGCTATTGCTATAACCTGATAGCTTTAGAAAGTAAAACGACTGTTGGGTTCTGTTGGTATGTTTTCTACCACACAAGCCAGGAAATGGCTCCTTCATTAGTCTTGACTGCTTCCCACTCACACAGATTCTCCCCGGGTGACATTAAAAATTGATTCATCAAGAAGAGTGGATCCCATTTTGACAGGTTAAACAGCAGCCTTACAAAAGGCCCAGGTGGTGGCTGCAGACATAAACATGCTTAGCCCCATTGAACTAAAACATGTACGAGATCCGGTTGCAAATCCACCTCTGTATTCAAAAGGCACATTATTAACTTAGCATATCGGCATTTGAATGAAGGCATGCCTAAATGTAAATCAATCGGTTGTTGGCTTCCTCCTTTGTTAATTAATGCAATATCCATAAGCAAGCATGAATTATGGCTGCTGACTCACATGATTCACAGAGGATGCTTCAGGTTTCACAAGCCCATGCCACCGTCTTTCTCTGCTTCCAACATGCAAAACAATTTGATGAATGACACAGGAGGGGAAAGAGGGAACTTAATTATTTGCAAAATAAGACCTGCTTTAATTCAGGGTTGTGCCAACTTTTGGGAAATACATTTCTTGCCAAGGTAATATTTCTTAGGTGAATGACATGTCAGGCACGGAGAAGATATGGATGGTGTGAAAAGACGAATGCATTTTATTCTGGAGAGATTATGGTGCAAGCTCTAGTCCTTACTTGAATTGACAAAATCCACAAATCTAAAACTCAGTGGGGTTCTGCCTACAGCCATGAATGTTTGAAATCACCATTCAGGTTTCTTGTAATTTCCCCATCTGGTTGCTTGCTTTAGATAGGTGGTTCTGAATTTGGGAGCTCTTTGGGTAGCTGGACATTGGTCAATCCAGTATGAGCTACAGCAACATTGTGGGATGGAGAAGGCTAAGCTACAAATCACGTAATCTCTTGTCCAGGGGTGGGCTTCAAAAATTTTAGCAAAGGGTTCTCTGCCTGGTTTCTGGGTGGGTGTGGCAATGGTGGGTGTGGCCTAGTCAGCCTCCTGCACCATGGTGGGGGGACATTTTTGCCCTCCCCGGATTCCAGAGGCTTTCCTCAAGCCTCTGGGAGGGCGAAAATGGCCTCCCGGACTCCTGAGGCTCTCCGGAATCTGGAAATGTGCCCATTTCCAGCCTTCCCAAACTTCTGGGAGGCTCGTTTTTCACCCTCCCCGAGTCTTCACGCACGCCCTGCACTTACCTGCATCCAAAACGGGCCGTGTGGGGACCCCTGGGAGGGGAGGGGCACGGTGGGCAGGGCCAGCCAGGAGTGGGATTTGGGGGTTCTCCCAGCTGCACAGAATCTTAGCTGGGGGCTCTCCCAAACCCCTTCAAACCCCCAGCAGCCCAGCCATGCTCTTGTCCAATAACCTGTTCTTTTTGAAAGATCTAAGGAAAGCTGGCGAAGCTGTGCTAACTCTCTGTGTTGCTCTGATAGATTTGATTATATGCCATCACGTCTGTGTTGACTCTTAGCAGGCAAAAAGGTAGATCTTCTCCAAGATAACCTGTCTTCAATCTGACCCTTTAGCTTTCCCAGCAGTACAGTCATCATGGCTGTAATGGAAGCCATCCAGCTTACTGTTGGTCATGCTCTTTTTCTCTTTCCTTCCACCTTTCCCAGTATTACAGCCTTTTCCAGAGAACTAGACCTTGGTATAAGGTGTCTCAAGTAGGCTAATTGGGGTCTGGTCCTTTGTGCCTTAGATGGGGTCTCTAGATTTATTTGACCTCCATGGGAGTCTCAGGCATTTTCTTCCAAATCAAAGTTCAAAAGTCCAACTTTTACTTTCTTAAAGTGTCACAGGGAAGAGTGTTGCTTATGTGATTCAGATCTTTGTAGGCATTGATATCTTATGATATCTGAATATCTTCCCCAAGGCTTTCAGTGCTACCCAGCTAAGTGCTAGTCTGTAGGATATTTCTTTATTGTTGATAGTCAGTCCTAAAAGTCAGAAACTACCCACCAATATTTTCATTGTCATTTCTAAGGCTATTTGCTGCAACCTGCTATGATTAGTTTGGTCTATTTGGTATTTAATCTTAACCTTAATCTCTCAATGTGATCCATATCCTTCATTTTAGAGATTGTCTTCAGTTACGCATTTATATATATATATATATATAAAAGATACATTATAATTGTCTTTTTCTTTCTTTTTCTTTAAATAATGCAAGTGAAATATTCTTCCAGCACATGAACTAAGCATGGACTGCCGTTTCAGTTGAGTTCTCCTGTTACTCGAATTGTCCCAAATCTTTCCCTTACCTTTGGTATTCGTCACAAGAAGACTTCTGCAGGAAGCTTCCTTAGATCTCCTGAGCTCTGTTATTTTCATTCTTTGGTATCGTTCATGTCACCATCGAAAGAACACCCTTGCCTACCCCCCTCCTAAATGGGCCAAAAATAAACTGTGCAGCCAGCTCTAGAGAACAGCTGCGCAAACAATGCCATTTAGAAGAATGCATCACGACACATGATTGAGTTTGCTGTCTGACGGCGGCGGAACCTTTGTTTTTCATCAATTATCTCTCCTGGGTGTGTAACAGGCAGAAAAGTGGCACAGACAAATTAAGAATGTAAGATGCTCTCTTTTCCAAGAAACTCCTGAAAAAGAAACATTGAAAAGACCCAGATATATAACGGGACAGCCCGAAATGGAGGAAAATGCCCCCTTTGGCTGGTGTTTGTGTTTTTAATTTATCTCACTGTCTCATTTCCAACAGGGATTATGATAGGACCAAGTAATGTTGTTTGATTAATGATCAGCTTTTTTTAGACTAGGGAGATAACTTATTATCGTAAAATATATTGGCGTCTTTGAAACCCTAACACTTTATATAGCATTAGCAGATACTGTCGGACTAAGATCCAGAGTCTAATTTCCACACAATCATATTGTTTTAAGAGCTAGTCATTACCTCTCAACCTTACTTTCCAGGATTGTAATAAAATTAAAATGTCAGAATCACAAGATGCAAACTGGACAATAAAGGTATCAACGAACTGAAGCAAATACAAGCCTATGCAATGTCTATGGAGATTCTCAGTCATCCCAGTCATGGTTGTACCAAAGGTGTTTTTTTCAAGAGGCAACTAGTTTTTCTGGTTTTTCTTTGAAGACGTTTCGCTTCTCATCCAAGGAGCTTCTTTGGCTTCTTCAGCTTCAGCTTCTGAGCTGAAGAAGCTTCTTGGCTGAGACGCGAAACGTCTTCAAAGAAAAAACAGAAAGTCCAGTTGCCTCTTGAAAAAAGCATCTTTGGTACAAGCCTATGCAATCTTCATTTAAGAAACAAAAATTATACTTAGAGGTTGAGCAATGTCTTAATACCAACATCTGAAGCCTTAAAGAGCAATGGAGGTATTTGAAGTTGGGGTAAACTGGTATGGACCCACCAAAAGCTCCATTGTCCAGGCATTGGTGCCTAACTCTCTTTCTAAAGAAGGAAGGATCTTTTGTCAATGCATCCTTTATCCTTCCCATTATGGAAGTATGTTGGAAGGAACTCTTCTCCACAAATAAATAAGTACACCATATATCAAACAGCCCAGTAGAATGAGCAAGTAGCCATTCAAAGATATTATCTAACCATGAACTGACTAAAGTCTGAATTGCTTAATCGGTTGCTTAAACCAGCGAAAGCTCAGAATCTCCTTTCTACCTGTCAACACACCTTCTGAAATGGCTAAATTTGGATTCAGTAGCTCACATATTTTAATTGACACACCTCTTTTTTCCCTTGAAATGTAAGATTGCTTCAGGTATTCTCTGAACCGGCCTTACCATAAAATAATGGGTACCTTTCTCGATGACAGAACAAGAGGAAGATACATGTGTCACGATGTCCAAATTACCATCATGATTTCCTTGCTCTGATGAAAAAAGTCTGGCTCCAAATTATATTACTGTGTGTGGTGGATATTTAAATGTTATACCTCAGGCCAAATGGCTTGGGAATGAGCGTATGTGGACTTGACCATTTTTTATATACAGTTCTTCTAAAATAGTCCAAGGTCCTCAACAGATGGGCAGGATTGTATAATTCAGCCACAGGAGCAGCTGCTTAAATCCTTTTGTGGTTGGAAGAAGATACAGAAATACTCATAGACAGAGTGCAGTACATCAAAGGCATATCACCCATTCACATTAAGATATAACCACCCTCCCCATGGCTTCTGGCCTGCTTTAAGAGCTAGAAGGAAGTATTTAATTGGAATAAATGGAGAAACTGACCATATAGGCAAGTTTCAACTCTTCACATCGGTATGTCTAGTTTAATGAAAAGAAAGACTAGAGGAGACATGAGAGCAGTCTTCCAATACCTCAGGGGCTGCCACAAAGAAGAAGGAATCCAACTATTCTCCAAAGCACCTGAGGGCAGGACAAGAAGCAACGGATGAAAACTAATCTAGGAGAGAAGCAACCTAGAATTAAGGAGAAATTTCCGGACAGTTAGAACAATTCACCAGTGAAACAACTTGCCTCCAGAAGTTGTGAATGCTCCAACACTGGAAGTTTTTAAAAAGATGTTGGATAACCATTTGTCTGAAGTGGTGTACGGTTTCCTGCCTAAGCAGGGGGTTGGACTAGAAGACCTCCAAGGTCCCTTCCAACTCTGTAATTCTATTCTATTCTCCATAGTCAAATGGTCAGTCTACATGCACAAGAGGGAAGCATCAGATGCAGAAGGATAACACGGTCTTTTTGAAAACCTGTCTGGTAGTCTTCAACTCTACTTTCTTGTTGCAGGCTATAATCACAGAATCTTGACAGCCTGAGAGAGATTCTCTCTCCTCTTTCTTATATCCCAGAGAATCAAAGTGAGCCTATCTTGAGTTTCTTTCTCACCCTCTCTTCCTTTCTGAGGCTAAGCTGATATCTACCTAACAGGCACTGAATCCTTCTTCAAGACTATCTCCACAATCCTCTACAAGTACCGGACATTCGTTTGATATATGATAATATATGATTACTGCTAATCAATGCCTCCAGATTCACGTGGACTGAACATTCTCAGTGGATTAAAAAATGTGAGTTCAGAGTATGCCTTATAGGAAGGGTGAGAAAGAGAGACGCAAAACAGAGCAGAGATGGAATGGAGATCCAGCAGAAGAGCGTGGCTGAATGAGTTGAATGATGAACAAAAACCCTCCCCGTTGCAATATTTTGTTCTGAGCCCTTTTTAGAAAATAATCATTCAAGTATCTGTCAAGGGGAAAAAAGAATAAAAATAAAACAAGTGAGAGAAATGATTGTATGATAACGAATCAGGATGCTGGCAGAGCTCAGTTTACAGGTGCACCACTCCATCTGTCTAACCAGTTAAGGCAAAGCATATTTTGAAGGCAAGCCTGGGGACTTAATTGTAACTAAATTTGTTCCAGCGAAAACAACTGAGCTTAACTGATTTGTGGATCAGGATGACTTACATTCTTTGCTTAGTGAGCTGCCTCCAAATTTGTTTCTCCTTGCATAGGAGATAATGACAGTAGGACATGGTATAACTTCTCTGGCAAGGGAAAAGCAATAGTGAATGACATGGCATAAATATCTCCTATTTATAAGAAAGTTCTCTGTTGTTTTTTGGATTTGAGTTGTGAATTATATTAATGAAGCAACAGGGAATAGCTAACTGCCGCCCAGCTGCTTAGAAACCAAACCACGGCCATACTTCAATACTGCACAGGCAATTTGCAACTAAGACAACAGCTATAATGAAACATCTTCCTTCACCGCTGAGAAAGAGATGAACAAAAGGAAGAACTTACTTAATCTATCATTAAACTGTGGGAGTAGCTGCTATCGGTTGTAAAGAAGATTTTATCCATATAGGCACTTTTAAAACAAAATTGGACCAGCTCCTAAAGGCCAGGCTATTCATAGCCATGAGTCTCGAAGTCTGCTATTTTTGTTTCATTTATTTATTTCTCATATTTATGAACTGCCCATTTTCCTCAAAGAGGGACCCCCAAAATTCCTAAGCCCTTAACACACTTGGGGTTCCAGGCCTGGACACATAGCCAGGTCTTCACCCCAGTTTGAGAGAACCCATACTGAACTGGCAGCTGATTTTATGGCCGGTTTGGCAAACTGGCAAATCCTACCCCTGGCTGGACCCACCCACCTCTCTCCTCCCAGGAGTCCCCACACGGCCCGTTTTGGATCCCAGGTAAGGACAGCGCCCTCACGAAACCTTCTGGAAGTTCGGGAAGGCCAGAAACCGGCTTCCAGAGAGCCTCTCCAGAGCCTGGGGAGGCCATTTTCACCCTCCGGAGTCCAGGGAGCAGAGGTGGTCTTCAGCAGGTTCTGACCAGTTCTGGAGAACCAGTAGCGGATATTTTGAGTAGTTCGCAGAACCCGCAAATCCCGCCACTGACTGGAGATTTTACAGTATCCTTCCCTTGCCACGCCCACCAAGCCACACCCACAGAACCGGTAGTAAAAAAAAATCGCATCCCACCACTGCCAGGGAGGGCAAAAATGCCCCCCCCCACATAGTGCAGGAGGCCAACTAGGCCATGCCCACCCAGCAACCGGGCAGAAAACCAGTTGCTAAAATTTTTGAAGCCTGCCCCTTTTTTTATGTGGGTCACAGTTGCAGCTCAAGAAAGTTTACACTTTTTAATAACATTAGTTAGTTGGAAAAGGTGACACTAACCTCCTGATTTTTGCTATCATCGACTAACACTGCTTTCCTCCTACAATGAGTTGATCTCTCTTTTAAAAAGAGACTCTCTGCTCTCTTGGATTTCAGACAGACTACTGAAATCACATCTATTTTATCTGATGAAATCCTCTGACATGCAGGGATTTCGCATTTACACAAATCCTTCTTTCAAATGAATTTCTGTGGAAGATGACATTCAATATAAATATATATATATCTACACACAATCTTCCCAACTCTTTCTTCACTCCTAACCAAAATCAACTCTACTTCTACATCAGAGAGAATGATGCAAACAGTTTAAATTTCATGCATGGTTTTGGATGCACTCATAGGAAATATAATCCTCTTTGTAATGAATTATAAAAACTGAAAGAAATTTAATAGGTGAAAGTCCATTTGACACATATAGGTTCACTGGGGACAGAAATCTAATCTGTGGTGAATTGAGCATAATTATCAACAGTCATGCATGCACAGGGATACAAACGATAAGATTTGCCATTCAAACTAGACCCTGCGCATAGAATATTTTTCTTTTATTTTCCCTTGTTTTTAATTTATAAAGAGGTGATGGATATTGTTCTGACCCAGGCTTCGTCAAACGTTATTAAATGCAAACTTGTTTTAAAAGAAAAACCTATTTTAATGCAATGCTGGGAATTATTTTCATTCACAGCCAGGACTAATCTTAAACAGTTCCCCAAGATAAGCACATGCCTGTCGGTGCTGTGGAATGCTGCCAAAAGCAGAAGCATCCAAATTAATTATAACAGTGCCAGGAAAAAAACACGACCAGAATACACAGAGCTTCAAGAAGGACTCGGAATCTATTGAACTACTTTGCTTCCTGCAAAGATTTCATCATCTTGGCCTGACTTTTATCCCTTATGGGAGGGGCAATCACCTCCCAGCCTTATTCCCGAGTTGCCCCTTTTGTTTCAGCTGTTCTTGCCTTCTAGCAGCTCTGCGCATACGCACACTGGGAACAGGCTCCCCTGGGTCCTCTGCTTCACTGCTGCCAGATTCCGAAGGCTCCAGAGGCAGCACTCCACTCCCAGATGGTCCTGGCCCCATCCCTGCATCGGATGCAGTACCCTCATCCAAGTCCTTGCCAGACTCCCAGACTAGTCCCTGTTCTTCCCCACTGTCCAATTCCGCTGCCAGCTGCACCGGTTGCTGGTGAACCACAACAGATATTGCAATCTTCTGTGTTTCTTTAAATGCATAAATCGTGGAACAAAACAAACCCAACAGCATTATTTCAATGCAGAAAGGAGGCAGAAGGAAATCCTCCTGCCAGGTTTCTGCTGACGTAGTCCTGAGGTTTGTAACGTGGCCAAAAGGTGACTCTAGGGTTGCAAAAGAATGGTTAGAGATGAACTTGGCCTCAGAGACCTAGGTTACACATC